TATGTCAGGCCCATAGCTATTGCCCTTTCCATTTGACGCAACGCGAAGCCAACTGCCGACGTGCCCATATCAGTATGAGCGCCCCACAAAACCGAGTGACATTGGTTGGGCTGCCCCCCCCCCCCCCCCCGCTGCCCCCCCCCCCCCGCTAGCTACGAGCCTGTAACGTTTTCCCTTACCATGCCGTCTGTCCAAGCATCACTGACAAGGGGACACTACGCCGGCAAACACCGGGATCTCAGGACCTCACCAGCACCAACAACAACATACATTATATCTGAATGACACAACCATAATTTCTTCACCTTTAAATCCCAAAAGTTAGCGCAACATTTTGTACGTCCTTGCATAGCGATTTTTGTAGAATCGAAGAAAAGGGTTTTGATGAATATTCATAATTTATTAGTTACATGTTTACTAGTTTGCGTATCTCATAGTGAATCGCATACTTGATTTTGAGCAAGTGGTTGCCGCGTGTTTTTCCATCTGGGGTAGAAAACGCTGAAATAAAGTTGGACCATATGTTAGTCATAGCAATGATTTATTACACTGATCACTGAGTCAGGTATGGTCATAGGCGTTGGAGGGGGGGGGGGGCTGGACCTGATAAGCCCGAAAAGATTTTGGGTTACAGACGACGTATAGGACCCCCCCCCCCCACCCCCCTCCCGCCAAAAGAAAAAAACCAAAAAAAACAAAATCGTGATAGTGGGAACCTAGCTTTAAGACGGTTGTATTAACATCTTCTATTCCTGCTTAACTATTGTAACACGTCACTGCTTTGCACGAATAAAATGAATAGTCAGACCTTTTAATGCCGTCACGTGTGTAAATATAAAATAAATATTTGAGTAACGTCCTTGTTAAACAAGCCGGCCAATAATAATATATAACATAAAGAAGACGGTGTGTGAATTGTATACGTATGTATAACATCAACGATAAATATATGGTTGGTGTAATTCGTTATTTATACATTGGATAGTGTCGTGGCTTTTAGAAAATTTTTACTGGGGGTGCTTTCTTACTTTCTTCTTAACGTCAGCTTTCATCAAGTAATCGTCTTTTTTTACTACTTTAGACTGATTTAAAAGGATGCAAGCGGGGTTGTTTATCCGCTAGACTAGTACAATAATAAACTGTATAATTTGAGCTAGCGAGACTAGTAGAATGATAAACTGTATAATTTGAGCTGGCGAGGCCAGTAAAGGGTTGAGACATAATCATGATTTTAATATAAAAACAAACACGCTAAAACTCTGATTTGGTAAACAACTATTCTAGAATTCTAATCTAATGTTTCCATCCGATGTTTAGTATTTTAATTAATTGTTATTAATATAGGACATCATGTTGTCTAATCGCTTGAGAATTTTGTTCTCTCGAGAGCACAGTGACCCCGTGAGCAAGTCTCTATATTCTTATAAAAATCAGACAATTATATCACAAATTAACAGTCACTATTCCTTTTCATTTAAAAAACATAAGATGTCTAAGGGAATCAAGAAAACAAATCTAGTTTTGCGCCTTGTTTTGCCTGTCCACTGTCTGCCGTTTCCGGGGTGTTATTAAAAAAAAACAATTATATAAAATAATCCTTCTAATGATTGGAGAAAATTTGCACCAGTTTTCGTAAAAGTAAAGCAAAAATAATTTTAAGAAAAACCATTCTTAAGATTAGTGACAATATGCATCAGTTTTCTTAAAAGTAAAGCAAACATATATATGGAGAAACTGAACCACCCTGTTACACACCGCTTTTGTTCTCAAGAGAGGGAGAGAGAGAGAGAAAGAGAGAGAGGAGGAGGGAGAGAGAGGGAGGAGAGAGAGAAATTAATTAGAATTACCAATTAAAATTTAGAATTATAAATTAAAATTAAAAATTATTAGATCAATTATTAGTTCAAATTAAAAATTATTAATTCAAATTAAGAATTATTAATTCAAATTAAGAATTATTAATTCAAATTAAGAATTATTAATTCAAATTAAGAATTATTAATTCAAATTGAGAGTTATTAATTTAAATGGAGAATTAATAATTGGAATTAAGGATTATTAATTCGAATTAAGATTTATTGATTCAAATTAACAAATTATCGATTCGAATTAAGAATTACCGATTCGAATTAAGAATTACCGATTCGAATTAAGAATTACCGATTCGAATTACTCTTCAAAATTCATAACTATTTTTTTTCAAATTCAAAATTATTTTTCAAAATTCAAAATTTATTTATCCAAATCAAAATTATTTATCAAAATCAAAATTATTTATCAAAATCAAAATTATTTTTCAAAAATCAAAATTATTTTTTAAAAATTCAAAAACCAAAACTATTTTTCAAAATTCAAAAAAGATCCCTTGACAGTTGAGTTCGATATAACAGTAGGCCGTAGTGCCGCTGTCCGGGCAAAATTTCCCTCATAGCAAACTGTATGGCGTATGCCCGTCTTCATTAGCCAAGTTCGGAGCAGAACAGTAGGACGTTTAAACCCCATTTCATTTCACAAATCTTTCAATCCTCTTTTCAATTAATACAACACAATAACGCCCTTGTTTACTTTATAACACATGAAGAGAACCCAGATACTTTCCTATTAACGTCAGCTTTCGTCAGTTAATTGGGTTTTTTTTATACTACTTCAGATTGATTTAAAAGGATGCAAGCGGTGTTGTTTATCCGTTAAACTAGTAGAATAATATAGGATATCATGTTGTATAATCGCTTGAGAATTTTGTTCTCTCGAGAGCACGGTGACCCAGTGAACAAGTCTCTATATTCTTATAAAAATCAGACAATTTTATCACAAATTAACAATCACTATTCCTTTTCATTTAACAAACATAGGATGTCTAAGGGAATCAAGAAAACAAATCCAGTTCTAAAGATTGGAGACAATTTGCGGTGTATTTCCGCGAAGGCGCAGTTACAGAGCGTGACCAAAATTAATCCTTCCCACGAAGGCGCAAATATCGACTTGTCGCCTTTCGTTTGAAGAGAGGCATGTTGCTATTAGGACCCAATTAACGGTGTTAAAGAATTTATGAATTTATGTTTACTCTGAATTTTATTCACCAATTGGCAACTAATGATTAAAATCATCAAATTATCCAAGTATTCAATATGAATCTTAATTTGGAGACGAGAGAGCGATGGGGTTTAACGTCCACTCGACACAAACTAGGTCATTTCGAGACTAACATATGGTTCAATTTTATTTCAACAACTCGGTTGCGTGCAGGGGTCTTTAGCAGTGGGGGGAAACCGGAGGACCCGGAGAAAACCCACAAGGTTGGACAGGCGACCCTACTCCTTGTCACGTACAACCGGGGATTCGAAACCACGCCAGTTGACTCAATGATAGGCCTTATGATACAGCACGCACGTGCTAACCATTCGGCCATCCAACCCCCCAATTTGGAGACGAACACAGAATGTAGGTCTACAAGTGCAATATAGAGAAGATGAAGAAATACAGAAGGTGGTATGGAGGTTTGCAGCTTTACCGATGGTACCAGTAGAAAGGGTAGGTATATTATATTATGTCTTGTTGTATTGGCCTTCGACTTCTCTTATTGGAGTAGACGTGGAACGTTTTGACCACTGTGGTCACCACATTGGTATTTGTTATCAAATTTATTTACCAAGCATATTTTACTTGCAGGTTGAAGATGTCTACCTTTACATTTTAGCAGAAATGCCAGCCAATCCAAAAGTAAAAAAATTGGCCGACTACATAACAAATCAATGGTTCGAGGGTTAATTTGCAACTCATCAGTGGGACTACTACGACACAGAGGAGCACAGAACCAACAACACTCTGGAAGGATGGCATGCGCGAATCAACATCCGAATGTTTTTGAAATGATCACATTTTTACAACAAGAACAAAATATTAATGAGATTAGAATCGTTCATTATGCTGGGGGACAGAAACCACCAAGGAAGAGATATAAATATGCTCAAATCCAAAGCCAGCTCCAGGAATTAAATGGAAGACACGAGGAAGAGAAATTGACTTTAGTCGATTATTTAGACAGGGTGTCTTATTTGGCGAAATTAAATTAATCTTTGTTATAGTGTAGTTATGTTTTTATTTCTTATGCCAAAAATGATGCTAAAATGTCGGTTAATTAGTTACATTGGGGATTATGAAAGTGTAAATTCTGATCATAACAATCTATAACACTATTGTTACGTTTTTAATCCATTTTAATCCCTAGGCTCTGGATTCCGTTTAATCCGTTACAGTCAATAACTGCGCTTCGTGGGAATAAACCCAATTTGCACCAGTTTTCGTAAAAGTAAAGCAAAAATAATTTTAAAAAATAAGATAAGTGACAATATGCATCAGTTTTCTTAAAAGTTAAGCAAAAATATATATGGAGAAACTGAATCACCCTGTTACACACCGCTTTTGTTCTCAAGAGAGAGAGAAAGAGAGAGAAGGGGAGAGAGAGAGAAATTAGAATTTGAATTATTAATTCAAATTAAGAATTATTAATTCAAATTAAGAATTATTAATTCAAATTAAGAATCATTAATTCAAATTAAGAATCATTAATTCAAATTAAGAATTATTAATTCAAATTGAGAATTAATAATTCGAATTAAGGATTATTAATTCAAATTAAGGATTATTAATTCAAATTAAGGATTATTAATTCGAATTAAGGATTATTAATTCGATTTAAGGAT